AGATAGATAGATAGATAGATAGATAGACAGATAGATAGACAGATCGTCTATCAATCAACAATCGTCAAAATCAGTTGTTTATATTTGTATCATTGTTAAGTAGATGAAACGATCCTGTACAACAGGTGAGCATCAGAACCGTAGAGACTGATGAAGGTCACCATTATCATCACCCATAGCAGCAGCAGCAGCAGCTGTGGTGACATCAGTCAGATCATTAAAAGAGCACAGGGAGGATGTGGGGATGTGTGTGTTTTCTAGGTAAACCTATCCTTGTGGGGACATTTCTTAGGTTCCTACTTAGAAAAAGTGTATTTTTATGTAGGTCCCTACTTAGAAAAAGTGTATTTTTATGTTTAGGGTTGTTTTTAGGATAGTTGTTAGGATTAAAATAAGTACTAGGCTATGGTTAGGATTAAGATAATGCTAAGGTTAGAGTAGCACTGTGTCCTCTTCAAGTCCTCGCAAGTCATGAAAACCAGACTCGGTGTGTCTATTTAAATGCTGAGAGGGATTCTCTTTCAAGACCGAGCAGCTGTCGGTGTTGTTCAAACGGTGGTTCCATCTGGTTTGAGGATCGTGATACTTTTTTGTAGAGACAGACAGACAAAAAATAACAAAACTGTTTATATACTGTATGTACACGAGAATTCAACAGGGAAGAAAACCAAATGACAGAATGGAAACACGGTCCTCCTGTAGGTGGGACAAATTGGCTTTGACTCACTGGTCCAATGAGTTAATGAAATGTTTGTTGAGAAAAAGAAAAAGCTGCATGAATGTGAGCAGAAAAGACTGGTCGCCATAGCTACAGCCTGCTAATCCCTGCTGAAAGCAGCAGCAGCAGCAGCAGCAGCAGCAATGAGGAGACAGCCTCCTTTTGATTGACAGGACACAAGCGTGGCGATCTGTGGTGATTTCTTGCGGCGGTGTAAGGAGTGACATGTAATCAGCACCTGATGAGCTAATAGCGCTCCCCCGCTGAGATGGTGACCTAGCCTTTTTTTTCGCCGTGCAGCAGGGACTAATAATCCCATGTAATAATCCCATATCATCATTCCAATAATCGATGGCTGTGCTTCAACATGAGGTCAGCGGGCCGGCTGGTGACACAGCAGCCTGACTGAGATCGGGACAGTCAGTCAGACTACGAATGACAATCCGACTGACTGACTCAACAGTCGGATGGATTGTTCAGACTGATTAATATTTTGTTCGTCATTGAACAAAGGTCCGAGAGAAGTTACAAAACAAAACCATTTATTTATTTTTTTCTCTTTTATCTCTTTTTCTGTCAGTCTACTACATTCACAGATCAGTACAAACTAATTTCTGTTTCTGACAGAAATTAATGATAAAACCTCTAAATATTTTTATCCATTTTAAAAGCTGCCAACCAGTAATCATTAGTCCATGTTTGTGGACGTTTTATATAACATCACCAAACTATGTATGAAAAATTCATCTACATTTATCAGTGTGTAAATTGTGGAAGGGTCAGAAAAGTGAGCAAGTTCTGTGACGTGGTACTGTTGGTGTAGTCTGCTGAAACACAGTGATGTATCAAATATTTAAAAAAAAACACTCTTGTTTTAAACCATTTACATGCAGTAAAATCATATCAGTATGTTATGAAACATATTACACTATCACTCAAAACCTCCCATCGCGATTTTTTTTATAGTTATAATTCGAAATGGAAAAGTCAAAATTGTCCCATTCGTCACAGTTGAAGAGTGGAGGCCCTTCATCGTCCACCCTCTCACTCAGAGGAGTGCTGAAGTAAGCCGACCTCTTAAAAGGAGCTTTAGGGTTGGATACGGCCGTCACACCCTGAGAAATAATCACAGATTTAATATGATGACCCATCCCCCCAATCAGTTCTAAAATGCAAAAATAAAACGTGTGCAGACCAATCAGTTGCAAAATAGTTGCAAATGCAAAAATAAAACGTGTGCAGACCTGAGCCTGTTTGTAGTTTTCACTCCAGAATGTAACGGCGTTTTCAGATGTATAATCATGATACTGAAAAGACAAGAGGAAGAAGACGAAGAAGTTTGTATGTTTTAACTGATGTCAGTTCCAAATTACAGTAGCACTACCGCTTCAAAACTTTAAACCTTAAATTTTAAAACATTTTGCTGTGTGGACAGGTTAGGACACCATAGCTAAAATGTGCTTCAACAGTCCTGGTACAGACACCAGAGCTAACATTAGCTACAACAGTAGCAGTGAAATTGGTTCAAACCACCGATCTTCACCTGTTAGCAGCTAACCTTCAAATTGAACGTGTTAGAACGACCTTTCTTGGAACTCTCTTTTCAACAATAACTCTTTACAAACAATAATTTCTTGATAAATTGTGTTTTCACCGCACCAACGTTTTACCTTCTGTGTCTTTTATTCCTACCTCTGACCTCAACTGTTAGTTTTTCTGTTTCTTTCTTTTTTTAAGGAAAGTGAATCTGATAACTTTGTGGAATAACGCCACGTGATGAAGACACGCAGCTACAGAGTAGCCTGCGAAGAGGCAAGCAGTGTGACACGTACATGTACTGTCGGAATAGGCTGGGGCTTGAACCCCCCTGCCCTGAAGTCCCTCTGGGTGGTAGAGCAGAAGTGAATCAGGGAAGATGGAGGAACCGTGTTCAGTTCCGTCTCCTCCCTGTGAAAGAAAACAGGAGGACATGTGACACTAACTCTGACCAGAACAAACACACCACGAATGTAGAAACACTGCTGGTAAAAATAAAACATCGGCGCGCGAAGAAGCGATTTTTCTCCAGCGCTGCCGACAAGAGGAAACAGAGTTCCCGCTGTTTACGCCTGAACAAGATGGAAACTGTGGAGGATCAACAGGTGCATGGACAGGAACAGAGCGTGAGGAGACGTGTGTGTGTGTGTGTGTGTGTGTGCGCCCACTCAGTCCTGAGATGAGGTCTAATCATTGTAAACTGGCGCGTGGGCTCAGCCACTGCTCCAGAAAGATCTGAAAGGCTGCTGGTGTAGTGGGAGAAAATGAACCTCAGGCTCTTAAATGTCACCCGGTGGATTAATAGATGTAATGTCACAACAGTCCCAGGTGATGTTCAGTTCCAGGATTCGCTTAGGTTATCCAAATGAGTGCATTCGTTTTTTTAAAATTCACCTGCGAAATAATTCAGAATAATAATTTTAAAAAAACTCTTGAACTGCACATCAATCCACCATCCATCCACTCATCATTTCCCTAATGCAGAGTTGGATCTTTCCTTCCTTTCCTTCGTTCCTCTGCAGTGACAGTGGTGGATCGGTGGTTAAGGAAGCGGACTTGGGTCCGAAAGGGTTCATTGCCACTGAGCAACTTGGCAGCGTTAGCATATTTAGGTAGCGTTAGCATATTGTTAATGGGTCAAAGTGAGAATGGCCTCGTGATTGTCAGAGCAAACGTTGGCGTCAACTTTGAGCAAGTTGTCGACAATGGTGACTATGTTTGGCTTGTTATTAACCCTTTCATGCATGACGGTCACTACAGTGGACAGCTATTAAAATGTCATGTTCTATGATAAGAATAGGTTTTGCATATAAGCCTCCACAGGGGACGCCCCCGAATCCACTCTAGAGGCTTATATACAACACTGCCATCAAAACCTATTCTTATCATAGAACATGACATTTTAATAGCTGGCCACTGTAGTGACCGTCATGCATGAAAGGGTTAAACCATTTCCTGAAGTTTGCTAGTTAGCAACACTCTTGGCTAATATTTACCAGTTGTCAGCATTGCTAGCTAGTCCGTAGGTTTTGTTGAAGATATTGCTGCAGGGGTGGGCAGTCATCGGGTGACTGATGACTGCCCACTCTATAAGCCTCTACTCTATAAGTAGAGGCTTATATGATGGCAGTGTTGCATATGAGCCTCTACAGTGGGTTCGCCGGCGGCCACTGTGGGGGCTTATATGCAACACTGCCATCAAAACCTATTCTTATCATAGAAAATGACATTTTAATAGCTGTCCACTGTAGTGACCGTCATGCATGAAAGGGTTAAACCATTTCCTGGAGTTTGCTAGTTAGCAACACTCTTGGCTAATATTTACCAGTTGTCAGCATTGCTAGCTAGTCCTTAGGTTTTGTTGAAGATATTGCTGCAGGGGTGGGGCAGTCGTCAGGTGAGGGAGGGGTTCCACCCAGGACAGTTCTCCAGTCCCTCACACAGTCAAATATTGAGTCAAACCATTCCAATTTACATTCACACCTGTGGTCAGTATTAACGTTGATTAACTATGTTTTACATAGTTACATTTAAGGCGAGAACTGCCATCTGCAGTCATTCTCTGTAATTCCATGCTAAAAAAAAACATGGAATTATTCCTTTAAATCCAAATGCCACTGGGTTTACAGCAGCAGCCCCACCTCCGAGCTCCTCTCTGGACCAGATCACCATTTGCTCCAGCGGAGTCCAGGAAAGTCAGAGTCAGCCGGAGACGCCATGTTCTCCCGGACAGACAGCTCTCATCTCCCAGAGATGGTGGTTTGTGTTCTTTGCCACAGGTTCCCACTGGTGCAGAAACGTTTATGACCACATCTGTGAGAAAGCTTCTCCTTAAAGCCCATTAGAAGGACTGGCACCAGAGTCAGGAACAACACCATAAAATATGATTTAAGTGTGAAAACAAGGCCCGACGTGTGAAGTATGACATCACCGCGCTCCTACCGAGCTGAGCCGCGTTCTCCGGTTTTTTCCACAAACAAACCTTGTTCTCAACAGTCCTTGTTTTACTGGGCTTCAAGGACTGACTGTTTTTAGTTACCTTATCATCTGGTCCATGATGGCGTTCTCTATCTTCTCTCTCCTGATTCCTGCAGAACACATGCGATTTTTAAATTGCAAATATTTAAAAAAAAAAAAAAAAACAACATTACGTTTTGCTTTTTTTTTTTCAACAGGAGTTCCACTTGATAACTTTGAAGTTTTTAGAAAGGTTTCTTTAGCTTTTAGCTTGTGTGCTATATAAAATACACCATCAGCTTTTTGTGCTAACTTCTACAATCCTATTCTAAATATTAGGAGTTTTTTTTTATTTTTATTTTTTTACACTTTTCGTTAAATGTATTGTGTTTTGCCTTTTAACTTACTTCAAACCCTGTTAGCCAGAGTAGCCAAAGATTCCCAGCTTAGTGTCTAGCACTTAAAAGTACACGATAACAAATAAACAAGCTCAAAGTAATGGAGGAAAACTGAGCCAAGAAGACAATCGGAAAGTTTGTCTAGAAATATTCCCTAGAAGATCAATCTAAATACTGCTGAAAATATATGTTGGCAAAAGTTAAAAAAAAAAAAAAAAGTGCTGCCTGATGTGTGCCAGGTGCAATGTAAGTATGAAGGTAAGGTAAATAAGATAAGATAAGATAAGATAAGATAAGATAAGATACGCTTCCCACAGTAGGTACCTTTAAGCCTCACCCCTGGAAACTGTGGACGGACGTAGGTCAGCATGTTAGTGGTGGCGTTCTCCAGGTTCACTGCCTCGTCCATGATCATCGTCTCTTTGACTCCATGTGGAGGGATTCCGGGAGCTGTCTTCCTGAAGTTAATTGCCATATCATTTGGCTGCAACAATGGAAAAAAAAAAAAAATTAGTAAATACGCATAAAGTGTTTAAAATGTGGGTAAACCTTGAGGAATTTAACTAACAGATACTTTTGGTTTAGTGATCTTATATCTTGCAGCAATGTCTTGAAGATAGCTAGCAATGCCGACAACTTGTAAATATTAGCCATTCTCACTTTGACCCATTAATAATATACTAACGCTAGTTAGGACTGTTCAATTATTATTGTTGTTATTTCAAACAGTTGTCATTGTGACACAGCACACCACTGCACACAACAAAGTGAACAGTTGCTAGCTTGAAGCTCCCATGGAGCAGTGTATGGGGGACGGTGCCATGCTCAGAGCACCTCAGCGGTAACTTGGCAACTGCTGGGACTCGAACCTGAAACCTTTTGGATTCAAGGCTGCTTCCTTAACAACAAAAGCCACCACTGCTGTAGAAATAGAAAAAAAAAAAAAAAAAAAAGGCAACCCTGCTGTTACCACACAGCCGCTTTCACCAACTAATTATCTCTGCAGAACTTCAACTAAAGATAAAATTTTGAGAAGCACACTTTTCCTTCACCAAACACACCTGTAAGCAATAGCCATACTCACATCTTCTGCCCACGCTTCTCCCCAGAAACTTCCGGTGTCCTTCTCTCTGGGGTCATTGTTCTGTTTGCTCATGTTAGCAGGGAATGACACTGGAACACGGGTAATGGATCCTTCTGTCTTCTTCCTAGCAACAGTGTTTGTTTGTTGACCAAAATGAGGCTCGTCTTTTCTTCTGTGGTGTGTTTCACTGTTGTTTATCGCATCACTGCCCCCTTCAGGTGGTTTTGACTGTTCCAATTCCTTTGAAGTCTTTTAACCCTTGTCACTTGTCAAAAACCCGGTCATTCTGTGATGTCATTGTTTGATTACCCTACGTTCTTGTTGTTTCAGCCAGTGTATTATTTAAACTGTCTTTATCTGTAAGAACTGCGACACAAGCTCCTCAATATGTAAGCGTTAGCTATCTAACAGACATATTAGCAAAAAAACAAAAAAAACAAAAAAAAAAAACAAGTATTTGACAAACGTAAAATTAGGTCATAGCTTGAAATAACCAACAAATAACTAACACAATAGCACATTAGGCCAAACAAAAACTAAAGGACAGTTTGACATTTGACACGTGGAAACTAAAATTATACAAATACAAAACGAAGCTATAATAGCTTAATATTAAACCATTCTTATGATGATTAACATTTTGCCAGAAGTAACTTTGATTTGGCCCAAAGTGGAAGAAGTAAAAGTTGGCAGTTACAAAATCTCCACGTCTCAGTCTGCTCTCTTCTTCTTCATCTTCTCCTTGAGGAGCAGTTGTGCCAGGTGACTGGCAACCAACTTAAATTTGCACGCTTCAGAAATGAATTTGTTCGTTGTCTTTTGATTACGTAATAGGTAATTATGTAAAATGAGTTTTTACACCCTACTGTTAATAAAGTGTTTTTTTTAATCAAAAAAAACTTAATCTTCTTCTTTTCTAAGGACTCAAATACACTTTTTAAAAAAAATGTTTTTTCAGGAAAATGAAAAAAAAAAACTTTGATGTCTGTAAATCAGTACCTCAAACCTATCTCAGAAGGAGGACAGGATTCAGGAGGAAGAAAAGCTGGTAAAGGAATTAAAGCAGATGACGAAGCATCAGTAGATTATTAAAAAAAAACGCCTCCATTATCACCAGGTTTGTTTCTGTGATTGCTGAGGTGGACCTGGATCAGATTCTTCAGATCACCATCATCTGAACCCATTCACTGACACGGACAGCTGACACAAGGAGAGAATGTCTTCACAGGGGTCTCTGGCTTCTCTTTGTCTCCTCACCGACACACTCGGTCCCACTGCTGCTATTTTTACAATGGCATTGTGATTACATGTTGACCCAGCATCTCCATGACGACCAGCATCTCCGCAGATGCATTGCTGAGAAGCATTTCCCTTTTGTGTTTTGGCAGCACTCACGAGCTGGGACTTTGGAAAATGTCACCATCGGGTTGGCTTGTCCCTTGGTGCCCTTGAATTTCTTTGAAACCTTAAAAGGCTCCTTAAAGATCTCAGGTCAGGGGCCTTTATGCCATAGTGTGGAAAACAAAAAAAATCCAACTGGGCTTCTGTAGAACATGAAACCATGGTTTGTTGTCAATGACCAAATGCTGCTCTAAGCAACTGCCAGTGACACTTCTAGGAGAACCCACTACTGCCCCTAGTGCCCAAACTCAAAAACAAACAAAATCCCAAAAGACTTACCTGATGAATTGCTTCAGTCTGTGATGTCAAAGAAACAGTTGCTACATTGCAGATTTTTTTTCTGATTCCAATCTCGGAGTTTCGTTATATTGTGGTATTTTTTTAAAATTTAAAACGTTTTCAATATTTTCGAGATAAAAAAAAACATTTTTTTAACAGTAAAATCATAGCAGAAAATAAACTAAAAGACAACGCTGGCAGCTTTGTTTACCTAGAGGAGATCGAACACAGCATTGTGTTCCTCACGCTGATTGGCTCTGCCTAAAAATTTGTGCTCTTGTATTTTGGTGAAAGTTGATCTTAATTTAACGCCCTACGATGCCTCCTAAACGCTCTGATCATCTTCTCAGGCTTCTGTTACGAAGCCCAAACGAAGACGCTGACACATCTCGCCTCTACTTTGCCGCGACTACGGGACCACTGTACCAACTCACATGAGTACAAAAACTCACTCAATTCCTGAATACTATTCTAACACACATATTTTTTTTTTACAGAAAGAAGAGAACATTCAGAAGAAAATATGCAAAAACATTAAAATTCAAGAATTTTTATTTGTTTGCAGTAATTCAAGTATAGAGGCAGAGATTTTGGGGGTTTATTAGGAGGATGTTGAGGACGATGAAGACATGGAGAACGCCTCTCTCTCTCTCCCGGTCCTACACCTCCCAGCACGGCCTGTAGACTCGTCCCACCATGCACCTCATGTTGTCCCTCCTCAGGATGGGGATGTCCATGTCCTGGTTGGTGTCGGAAGCGGTGGAGACCTGGTTGTCCGCTCGTCTCTTGTACAGTGACATCCCACCGTTCAGCACCCGCAGGTCCCTCAAAAGGTTTGGGCTGGCCACGACGATGATCTTGGAGCCTCTCGCCTTCAGGTCTGCGCCCAGATCTCCATCAGCTAGGCCATTTTCCGTCGCCTTATCGCTCAGCAGCGAAGCAAATGTCTCCTGGTCTAACGCGTTGTCGTCGTCTTTGGTCATCATGGGCAGTGCGCCTGAGAGCACGTAGCACTTGAAAATGAGCGAGACAGCGAAGATCACGGATAGCAGTGACGGACGCATGGTTTTCTTAGATGGTGGAGAACTTTTTGGTTCAAGGGGGGGGTATCTTCTCAGTGCAGCTTCTCCTTTTGCCGTTCTGATTCCCGGGCTCACGAATCGGACTTTTATACCGTTTCGGATGACACATTCAAGTGTTTCTTCCTCCCTGTGTGTTTGCAAAAATGAACAAACGCCTTAAAGAATGGTGTTTAGGAACACCTGTAGGGTTCAAGTGTGTTGTTTTCGCTGAAAAGTTAATTAAAACCATCCCTGAAGTGTCAGCTGACGTTTCCTCTGGTGATGATGAAAACAGCGGGGACACCTTTGAACAGGTGAAACCCAGAAAGACTTTCATCCCAAAATCACTTCCTTATAAAACAAAGGAGGACGGATTACCCACCTGGGAGCCTCTGCGTCATTGACCAGAAGCTGAGATGATGTGATGTTGCTGCGGTTAGCAGGGATTAGAGCAGATAGTAGAAAGAAAGATCATCAGGAAGTCTTTTCTCATGGTATTAACTGAAGGAGAACTGGCTTTTCAGGAGAACAACCGCAGAAGCTTTTGTTCTCTTTGCAGGCATTCGCTGAATTGTCAATGTACGAAAGCGGGTCAAAAAGTCCTCAGACAGATGTTTGCCATTGCTACAGGTGTCTGATGTGACTAAAACCAGTTCAGACTGGTCTCGGCGTGTATCCAACAGCTCTGACCGGTTCTATCATTATATCAGTGTCCAGTGTTGAGCTGTGTTACCTTTGACGTTTGCTCAGCTTTTTATTGAACTTACAAAAATGAATCATTTTCAATACTGATCCTACATCACTTTTTTAACCAAAATGGAACGGAAACCTGTTCAAACGACTGAAGCTCAAAAATAGGTTCCGGTCTAGAACCGACCTAAATCTTTATTTTCCTGAAGGAACATTTAACAGAAGTGTTTCAGCCCTTTGAGTCATAAAATCCTTCGGATTTAGTGTCACCAACACCATAAACGTTAACGGGCTGCTGAGAAACAAGCCTCTTTTGTCCCTTTGAGTGACAACCTCGGGTCAGGTTCCGTTTAGTTTGTTGCTGAGCGTGAACATCTGTTCTTCCGTCTGTCTTTTAGCCACTTGTCACATGATTCATTGCCATCGCTTCAGCACAACATTGACTGTCTTCATGTTAAGGAAACGTGATACTGAAATGTAATTAACTTCCTGATTGTTGTCCCCCCTAATGTCCTCGGTCACATCCTATGGTCCACTGATTACATGACATCTGGCGCCAACAGGCCTCTGACATTTACTGCTGATGCAATCAGTAGAAATCAGTGCAACAGCTCAACGCAGTGAAGGACCGACCCGTCATCAGAGACTGGTAATCAGTGTTTATGAAGTTAAAGGTCTGAAAGGAAAAAAGAATTACAGGGGGGCAGTGAAGGGGGCTCTGCAACGGGCCACAGCTCTGGACGCTGAAAGAGGTTGTTTTAAAATAACAAAAAAATAATATATATTTGTAGTACATTGAGCCCACATTTGAGAAGTTGTTGTGTTAGCAGCAGCAGCTAGCAGCAGATACGCTGTCAATAGGCTGCCCATAGGACGCACCAAGCATGCGGTTCCTTCGAGAATTGAACCGAGGACTCTATGCCCTCAAGGCAAGGCGTGCTAACCGCTACACTACGGAACCATTTTGTCACCCTGTTAACCCATGTTATCAGGTTCTCAATAGTGTTTCAATTCGAGTCGCGGGGGTGGCAACATTTCTATCCCCAAAGGCGGGGTGTGACGGAAAATAATTAAGAACCACTAAGTTACACAAACTAACCTGGTATATCGGTGCCTTTAAAAAGAATTAGCATTTGAAGAGAAATATTAAACTAACTTGGATACGTTTGTAAAAACAAAATGTCATTCTTTTTATGTGCAGCAAGGGGGCACTGCTGGGAACGCTGTTTATGATACTAACAGCAGAGGACAAGTAATTGTGGCTCGAGGTTTTAGACCGGATGGACCACAGAGGAATGGGCCTCAAAGCAATGGTCAGCTCCAATTGGACTTCCTTCATGATACTGATCCCCAGGAACAGCAGAGGACAAGTCATTGTTCTTGTGGCTCGAGGTATGGTCAGCTCCAATTTGACTTCCTTCATGATACTGATCCCCAGGAAGCAGAGAGTGGAGGTGCAGGCAGAAATGGACAGGACTGGACTAGGATCCTTTACTGTAGTACACAAGCGTGGTTCACAGTTGGTCCAAGACTGATTCCAAGTGGAGTTGAGTCCAACGAGTATTGTGCAATTTGCATCCTTGCGGAACTTTACTTACTTTTCAATCTAGGTGCTGCTGTTCATGTATTTAGAACAAGAACCAGACGAACCTTGTGGGATGCAAGTGTCGATGGTCCTGCTATCAGAGATATGTTTCCCTGCTTCAACTGATGTTTCCTGTCATGCAGGAAGTCTTTGGTCAACCAGTGGGGTCAAGCACATCTCGACAGGAATATCCTTTATGTAGCAGAGCCAGGAACCAAAAGTGAAAATGTCTCTTCATAGAGTTGAGGTATTTTAGTCATTACTGTTCTTCTTGACGGTGTCTTGTAGAACAGGTGGAGAGTTTCTTTCTACACTTCAGTCCAGTTGTTGTTTTCAGCATTATGACAAAGTCTTAAACTTCATCATTGTTTTTAAAAAGCCAAATAGTCTGAAAGAGAGGGAGGGGGGAGGGCTAGTGTACAAAGATCATCTTTGGCAGCTGTGTTCTTTTCTTCACATTGTGGCAGAATGTTTGAATTTTTTCTCCTCTGGAGCCCATCTTCCCAGAAATGAGCCAGAAGGTAGAGCGGGAACAACCTCTCACTGAGCTCAGATTGTTTTATCTGTGCTGCTGTTAAAGTCTGATGACTGTGACGTTGTTCTTTACGGCCTGTGACGAGACAGCTCTGAGTCGATGTGATCAGAGCAGAGTCCATGTGGTGTTAGTGCAGCTTTTTATTAAAACACAAAGCTGCTGAGTGTGTTTGTCCGGACCACAATAGTCTGATATGGAGCAGGTTAGGATCAGAGTCTGAGTCAGATGCTGCCATGTAAAAAAAAGAAAAGAAAAACATCAGTAAAAACTTTAATAAAATTAACTGTGTTCATATAAATGGGTGTCGGTGGAAGAGTGGTTGTTGTTCTTGCCTTAAAACAAGATCAGGTCAAACTATGGCTCCAGCTGCAGGTCTTGCAACTGACTGAAAGAGGGAAGGGAGGGAGGGAGGAAGAGAGGGAGGACGGGAAGAAGGAAAAAAGAAGGATAGATGGACAGACAGATGGAAGTAAGGAAGGAATGAAAGAAAGAATAAAAGAAGGAAGGAAGGGAGGGAGGAAGTGAGGATGGAAGAAAGGAAAGAAGGATGAACGGAGGGAAGGAAGGAAGGAAGGAAAGAAGGAAGGAAGGGAGGGAGGAAGTGAGTAAATTAGGAAGGATGTACGGACGGACGGACGGAAGGAAGGAAGGAAGGACGGAAGGAAGGCAGGAAAGAAAGAAGGAAGGATGGAATGAAAGAACGAACAAAGGAAAGATGGAAGAAAGAATGAAAGAAAAAAGGAAGAAAGTAACGAAGGAAGGATGGAAGTAAAGTAGGAAAGATTGAAGAAAGGGAGGAAAGAAAGGAAAAGAAAGAAGGAAGGAAGGAAGGAAGGACGGAATGAAGGAAGGAAGGAAGGATTTAAGGAAGGTAGGAAGGAAGAAAGGATGGAAAGAAGGAATGAAAGAAGGAAGGAAGAGTGGAAGGATGGAGGAAAGAAAGGGAGGAAGCGAGGGAGGAAGGGAGGGAGGAATGAAGGAAGGGAGGAAGGGAGGAAGGGAGGAAGAGAGGAAGGGAGGAAGGGAGGAAGGAATACATGAAGGAAAGCTAAAAATTAAAGAAGGAAGGTAGGTACAAGGAAGGAAGGAATGAAGAAAGGAAAGACAGAAAGAAAGAAGGAAAGAAAGAATGAAAAAAAGAAGAAAGTAACAAAGGAAGGATGGAAGTAAGGTAGGAAAGATTAAAGAAAGGGAGGAAAGAAAGCAAAAGAAAGAAGGAAGGAAGGAAGGACGGAATGAATGAATGAAGGAAGGATTTAAGGAAGGTAGGAAGGAAGAAAGGATGGAAAGAAGGAATGAAAGAAGGAAGGAAGA